CAGACCACACTTCCTCAATTTAGCTGTGAAAATAGTTTGATAATTCATTGCCAATGGATGATTAAGAGTCGTTTGCTGAGGTTTAGCAGCAATCAAGACATGTACCTAGTACGCAGGGGATTTACTATGCAGTAACTGGGTTGTTGAATTAAATTCTTATTGGAGACCTTGAAAGTGTGACCTGAGAAAACTTCTCTGCAGCCAGTGGGTCCTCTAAGGGCTTGCCCGTGCCCTCCTGGATCTGCTGCCATGGGAAGGGTTGTTCCTAAGAGGGGGAGGCAGTGTGGATCCTCCTGGCTCCCTGGGGGGAGTAACTTGCTTCCATCTGCAAGTTGAAGGTGAGGAAAAGCAGGATCTCAGGTCTTGGCTGTGTTGGTGGAGCAGCTCTGCTGACACAGGCTCCCAAATACTGTCTGTCTGGTCTGACAGTTGAGCACCCACTGGAGAGGCTGAGCTCTGTGGTGTGCTTTGCCTGGAGGTTGTTCCCACTGGGAGCAGAGAGGAGTTTCCACGCTGGGGGAGAAGGATGCTTACAAACCCCACCAGATGCGGATACTCAGCTCACACCCACCAGCCCAAAATCCTTCCAGAGGCCCTGAACTGGAGAGAACCAGGTTTAGCTCCAGTTGTTAACAAAAGCCTATAAATTGAAGCCGCTGAGCTCCAAAGAAGCAAACTAAACCCCATGTTGTACATCTCCAGCATTGTCCTTCTCACACCATGCTCAGATCCTCCTGACTCCAAACTTAGGCACCTGCCTTGCATCACCCTGGCAGGAATCCCTGCTCCTACATCACACCCCAACGCTCTTTTGGGGTGCGGGGATGATCCCAGATCCCAACAGAAGCAGCTGGAAGCTCTGGAGAGCCAGGATCCAGGGACTGGGCTGCATTCTGGTTACCTTCCAGGCCACTCCCATGGCTCTGCCTGCAGACAGAGGGACACCAGAGGCATAAACCAAAGCTTATGCAGGAAGTAATGGGGATGTAGCTGTCAACGAGGACATTCCCGTTGTTGGTCTGCACAGCCATCCACATATCCCAGTACTCTGCCTGTGAAGGCTGTGTGTAGGGCCCAAAGACTGCCCCGAGCCTGGACAAGAGGGAGTTCAGAGCAGCAAAGCAGTAGATCTGTTAGTGTATGGATCAAGAACTAGCCCTGAAAACCTGAATACATCCACTGGGGAAAACGGGGAAGTACAGCAATGCAAATGGACCCCCGAATGCACCCAGAGTTGGATTTTGCAGGCTTTTTTTTTTGGGGGGGGGAAAGGTGGTTTGAAACATCTGATAAAAATATAGAGGGATTGGGCACTGTATGTGCTGTGGTTTGGGATTTCATGGCCTCTGGAATGTGCACAAGCTCAGTACCCAGAGGACAGAGGATTTCAGCATACCGTGAAATCTGTGTCATTAATAGGTGCCAACCTGGAGAGAGAATGGCCTGCAGGATCAAAGTCACTTAAATCCAGGGGCAAATTCCTCCTGGGACAGCACTGGGGGATCTGCTCATGTGCCAAACACCCACTACTCCAATTCCTATGTGGCCCCCTCCCCATGTTGCTCATACCCCCTGTATGGGCTGTGACCAACTCACCCTCTGGAGAAGACAAAGAAGTTCATCAGGCACGTGATGATGGGGGACAGCAGCCCCCCATCCTTGAGGATCTTGGGCACAAGGGAAAAAGGAGACAGTGCTGCTCAGTATCATGAAGATGGGCAAATCCTGCTACCTTAGGGGGCTTTCCTCCCAGTTCCCCATAAGCTGAGAGAACTGGGCTGGTTCAGCCTGGAGAAGAGAAGGCTCCTGAAGGGGAGACCTTAGAGCAGCTCCAGTGCCTAAAGGGGCTGCAGGAAAGCTGGAGAGGGGCTTTGGACAAGGGCCTGTAGGGACATACATGTCCTGGGTTCAGCAGTAGCAGTCAGTTTTTTTCTCCTTCTTACTAGCTGGTGCAGCGCTGTGTTTTGACTTTCAGCCTGGGAATAGAGCTGATAACACCGATGGTTTTAGTTGTTGCTAAGTCATGTTTACTCTGACCAAGGACTTTGTGAGCCTCATGCTCTGCCAGGGAGGAGGGGAGGCCGGGAGGAAGCAGAGACAGGACACCTGACCCAAGCTGGCCAAAGAGGTATTCCATACCACAGCACGTCATGCCCAGGGAGGTAACTGGGAGTTACCGGGAAGGGCACGGGACTCTCTTTTGGGGTCGAACTTGTTTCGGCGGGTGGTATCGTATTCTCTTCCCTTGTTATTTTCTCTTATCATTATTATCATTGGTGGTAGCAGCAGTGATTTGCGTTATACCTTAGTTACTGGACTGTTCTTATCTCAACCCCTGGGAGTTACATTCTCTCGATTCTCCTCCCCATCGCCCCGGGAGCGGGGAGGGGTGGGGGGAAGGAAAGAAGGACGGAAAGAAGGGGGGGGGGGGGAGTGAATGAGCTGCCTGACTGGTTTTAAACCACGACAGGACAGAACAAAGGGAATGGCTTTAACCTGCCAGAGGGGAGACTGAGATGAGCTCTTAGGCAGAAGCTCTTCCCTGTGAGGGTGCTGAGGCACTGGCACAGGGTGCCCAGAGAAGCTGTGGCTGCCCCATCCCTGGCAGTGAGAGCAGAAAGAGGGGACGTCTGTGGTGATGCTCAGCTATGGATGGCCACGGTCCCTTCCACTGTCACAGAAAGCACCTTCCAGCTTCAGGAAAACTGCAGGAGCTTGAAATATCCCAATAAACAGCAAGATCATCCCCAACCATAAACAGTTGTGAGTCCCTTTCTCCCACTTTGGGCTGGAGAAAGGGAAAGGATGATGCAAATAGAGCTTGGCTCCTGTGTAAGATATTGGAGAGGAACAAGGCTGATATCCTGGAGCACGGTGGTACCTCCTCTGCAGCATCACCCACCCCAGGCTGTCTCCTCATCCCCATGGAGGGAGAAGCCATGGGGGTTGCTGTCAGCATCCAACCCACATGCCCTCGCTGCCCTCACCTTGTACCAGTCGTACCTGGAGGTCAGGAATCCATGCAGGAGCACAATGATGTCAGAGCTGGGAAGGGAATGGGGCACCTCAGCATCAGCTTCCCCCGATTTCCTCCTATAGGAGACACACTTTGCTGTTTGATTCACTAGAACCCGAACCAGCATCATGATGTTGTCTTTCCCACTGCTCCTTTAAAAACCAAGGTGGGTTTGACTTGCACCACAGCTTCGGAAACCCAACCAGATGAGGAACCACTGGTACCAACTGCTTGATGCAAACAGGGATTTACTTAGCACAAATCAACTGCAGCTGCCTCTAAGATGCTACAACCGGTCACAACTGCTCCAGCAAAAAGGCCTTTCCTTGCTGTGACCATCAGAGGCTCTTGGGATCCTTCCCACTGGGAACAGAGCTTGTGCAGGGCCTGGAGCACAAGTGTGATGGGGAACGGCTGAGGGACCTGGGGGGTTCAGTCTGGAGAAGAAAAGGCTCAGGGGGGACCTTATTGCTCCCTACAACTGCCTGAGAGGAGGATGGAGCCAGGAGGGGTTGGGCTCTGCTCCCAAGGAACAAGGGGTGGGACAAGAGGAAACAGCCTCAAGCTGCACCAGGGCAGGTTTAGATGGAGCTGAGGAACAATTCCTTCCCCAGAGGGTGCTCAGGCATTGGAACAGGCTTCATGATCTTGAAGCTCTTTTCCAACCTGGTTGATTCCACGATCACCCCATTATGTGCTCTGATAATGAAGACCCACAGCACAGCTGGATCCACACAGCAGCTCCCCTTAAAGCCATTGTGGTCTGGGAGGCATTTGCCATCACTTTGCCTTGGGGACATCCCTGGGTGCACCGAGGGTACCAGAACCACCACCCCTCTCCCCACTGTGATGGACGACGTGTCCCTGGTATTGGTGCAGCCCCATCACCTCTATAGAAGATGTTCTGGTCCCGGTATGTGAAGTACCCTCCAGAGGACCTCCAGGAGAGGAGAGCTGGGGATAGCCCAGGGGGCGGGATGTGAAGGTACACGGTGAGGAGGGGCATAGTCAGCAGCCCCACCTGCACCCACCACTCCTTCATCCCGTGGGAATGAGGCACCACTCCATAGGGATCTGTCCCATTAACTCTCGTATCCCCATAACCCAATCCAAAACCCCCAAGAGACAGGTCCATGACATCAAAGGGTCTCAAGGTTAAGGTATGAGGGGTGGTGTGGGCCCCAATTGGGGTCTAATGGATGGATGTGGTCCCCATTTGGGGTCTGAGGGGGAATGGAGCTGCATAGGGGGCCTGAGGGGGGACATGGGTCCCCCAGTGCATGTCTAAAAGGGGATAGGCACCCCATTGAGGGGCTGAGGGGGACATGGACCCCGTTGGGTTCATTGGGAGGGCTGAGGCTCTGTGGCCCCATTGAGGGTCTGAGGGGAATGTGGACCCTATTACAGGTGACACGTGCCCCATTGATGGTCTAAGGGGACACGGACCCCATTGGGGTGCTGGGACTGTGAGGCCCCCTTGAGGGTCTAAGGCTCAAAGCCCCGCCCCCGAATAAGCCCCGCCCGTAGCCCACAAGGCCCCGCCCCTCGAACAAGCCTACCCCCCCCCCCCCCCAGGTGTCATGTGCTCATCTCAGACCACGCCTCCTCCCTCCCTGCCGTGCTCCCCCTCCTCGGAGGGGTGTCAGGTCCCGCCCACCGCGGAGGCCCCGCCCGCCTGTGGGCGTGTCCTCGATGCGGTGAGGGGAGCCCCGCGCGCGCGCCGCCACGGCTCTCCGGGGGCAGGGCCAACGGCCCGCACCGCGCATGCGCCGCTCCACCCATCTCTCCGCCTCAGCGCTTAGAAGCCGTTGCCCGGCGACGCTTGAGGCTTACCTCAACCCGCTCCCCCTCAACCGCTCGGCGTCCCTTCTGCGGCTTCTGATTGGCCGCGGGGAGAGAGGCGAGGCCAATCAAAGCGGGCGTAGTTGAAGGGTTGGACGTCAGAATCTGGAGGGCGGTTGGGTAAGCGGGTACCGGCGGGACGATGTCGAGCAGGAGGAGCGTTGGGGATCCTGAGGTGGGTGCTGGGATCCTCTCTTCAGCCTCGCTTTCCCTTCACCGGCACCCTTGCAGCGGGGACTGTGGTGGGTTGCTGGAGGCCGGGCCCCTGCCCTGAGGGGATGTGAGGGGTAACGGGAGGGTTGGCGGGGGGGTGTCGGCAGCTTGCAGAGGTGTGAGTGGGGATGGGGGGGTTTATGGGGTTAGAGCCGGGTGAGCTGTGGTGGAGAGAGGAAGGGAAATGGGCTAGTGGAAGTTGTCCCTACCCAAGGTAGGGGTTGGAGCTGGGTGAGCTTTAAGGTCTCTTCCAACCTAAACCGGTCCATGATTCTATGATTCTGAGAGCAGGGGATGTCTGAGAGGTTGCTTGTGGTCTTGCTCCTCTTTTTACTGTCTCTTAGACCTTTTCAGATTGCTTTTCCTGTTAATGGGAGAGGTTTTTTGTCTTTAAAACAAATAATAGCTGTATATTGACTTCCTTGTGTATTTTCTTTTGTAAACCAGTATTTAACCAGGCGCATCCCTCAGAATCCCAAATACCAACATATAAAAACCCGTCTCAATACTGGTAAGTGAAGCTGATGCTAGTGAGTGACGTTGTAGTGTAACAACACCAAATGTGGATGTAGGAGCATAGAAAAATATGCTGATTGTCTTCTGACTCTGTCCTGAGCTGCTTTACCCCACATACCAGCTATATCAGAACTCGCATCCTGATTATGATGTGTTACAGCTTAGAAACTTGGGCTCTGCAGTGACAGTTCCCATGGAAATTGCTGGCCTTGGAGTTTATTATTCTTATATTAGTTAATATCTTGACAATGGTGTAAGTCAAGATGGTTGTTTGGGGGGTGTCTTCAGGGAATGGCCAGGTTGGACGGGGCTTGGAGCAACCTGCTCCGGTGGAAGGTGTCCCTGCCAATGGCAGGGGGTTGGAATTGGAGGAGCTTTAAGGTCCCTCTCAACCCAAACCATTCCATGATACTTCTGCCCCCCCCTTGCTGGAAATCCTATAAAATGCACTCAGGTACATCTGTAGAACTGAAGCAGCACTGTAGGTATGTGTAGAAGATTTGAGCTCCTCCTGGTGTGGAGCATCTCTAGTGACTTTCACCTGGGCTTTAACCTAAGGGCCACCTCCTGTTCCCTGGGGTTCAGCAGGTCCTTTGACTTTGCTATTTAGTTTGGCTTTTCTTTGTGAGAGAAAATTTCTAGGAGGACAATTATGCTCTTGTTTATGGCTGCCTTGTGTTCTCATGGTGAAAGAGGATCTGCAGCAACGTCTGTTGTCATAGGCTGATCTTCTTATTTAAAAAATCCAAATTTAAGACTTAAAAGCCCTGAAGAAAAGCACTAATAAAATAAATCAAACTGATCCCTTCCCCCCCCCTTCTTTTCCCCCCATTTTCCCACCCGTCCTTCTTTTTCCCTTATTTTTTTCCCTCTTCTGCTTTTCCTCCATATTCCCCCCCTCCCTTTTCATCTTTTTCTCTTTATTTTTCCCCATTTCCCTCTTTTTACAGGGCACAGTTTGACAAAATACACTGAGAAGTTGGCAAAAGTCAAAAGAAGTGAGTGTCTGAGAGGAGCAGAATGTAACTGGTGGGTTAGTTCCAAACAGGAAGAGCATCAAGGAGCAGGGATTGAATCCTGGGCCCTCTATTTGCTTGGAAATCTCTACTCCGTTGATTCCCACAGCCATTTACAGGAAGGAATAGCAGAAACATGCAGCAGTACGATACAAAGATGCTTCTGCCTTGATTTTTGGATGCTTTCTGCTTTGTCTTGTGCCTTATTTCTCTGTCTCTCTTACTGCTTGACAGATATAACTTAAGAAACCAGGCAGGCAGTTCTAGGAGTCTTTCCAGATCCTTCTTAGTGCAACGTCTTGCTATTGAATGGAAACCAGATAGGAAGAAGTTTTCTGGACTGAGAAAACTAGACTAGATCCATCTGGAAGACTCAGACTGTGCTCCTGAGGCTTTAGTTTGCTTTTGGGTAACAAATTGAGATCTCTTACCTCTGTTGTTTTAACATGCTTGGATTTCTGTCAGAATACTCCAAGGTTCTGCTTATTCCTGTGTAACTCGTTGATTTTACCAGAGCCAAAGGCTGATGCTTGGAAGCCTCTGGCTTGTTTAGGCTGATGAAAACCTGACTGATTCTTATTTCACTCTCTTCTTCCACTGAAAACAGGCCTTTAAGAAAAACTCTTACTAAAAAGCAAAATTTTACTACTATTGTCCAGATTATTCTCTCACAGAGAGCCAAGAAAGCTCTTAAACCTAGAAAGCTGCATTTCTTTCTGTGGAAAACAAAACCCATCCCTGTTAATGAGGATTAATTTGATTTGGAACATTCAGGTTTAATTCTTGGACCCATTTATTCTGTCCCTCTGAGCTGGTGCTGTTCGCATTAGAAGGCAGGTCACTAATCTGTCACATGAATATATCAGAGCTCAGCTTTTTGCAGAATGGTCCTTTGTTGCTGGCTTGTTTGTTGTTTTGCTGTAAGCACCACAGGTCTGTGGGGAGAATCAAAGGAGAAATGACTTTTCTATCCAAAATCCTGTGTTGCCTGGCTAAGATTTCAGTGCTTGGCACTGGCTTGCCATCACTTGTTCTCTGTGCTTCAGATCTTGTTGTATGGCTCTAGTTGGTTTTCAATCTCTGCTCTGGGTCTGATTTGGTTCCATGTAGGGCTTCTTTTGTTGAACCACAGCTCTGGAACCCAACAGAAACTTTCCCATTCTCTTTGGGCTGAATAGACACCTTCTGTTCCCAGGCAATTTGGAAACTTCTTCCCCTTGGTTTCTCATGAATAGATGACACCATTTGGACACAACTTTAAATACCCACTACAGGCAACTCTCTGTCTCTTGTGTAATGTGAGAGAGAGGAATTTAAACCTGTGGAATTAAAATGAAGAGAGCTGGAACCATGATGATTTGTTCCTTTTGGAGGATTGACTTGAGGAGAGGCACCGAGTCTTTTCCTTTCCGAAGCCCTGAGGAGCACATCCTTGATTCCACAATAATTCCAGCCCCAAAGCAGTTCACTGAAGGGAAGAATGTCAGAAAATTCCAGTGGATCTTCCAGGACAGAACTGGGTACATTGCGTTGCTTCTACAGGCAGGAGCAGCACTTCCTGCGACCTTCCTGATCACTGCTGGGATGTTCATGCAAAGCAGTCAAATTAGTTTGTTGTAATAACACCAGCTTTGGGCTGGTTTTCCTGTTGATAGGAATAATTTTGGGTGGTAAAGGTAAGATCTAGGTCATAAAGAGATAAATAATCCTCACTTGAGGTGGGCAGAAAGCATCCAGCAGCTGTTTTGTGTGAGCACTGTGATAGTTTGGTCAGTATTCATAGGCATCCAGCTCTTCATAAACTTTCTGCTTTTCTTTATCCTTGTAAGTTAAGTTGATTTCTTGCTCGTCACATGACTGAAGGGCTCTTTTTGCCCATGGCTGGGGTGGTTTAACCGTATGGACATGGGCTACATGTGGGTTTTGTGTCCAGCAGAGGAAATGGGCTGAATTATTGCTGGTATTTTCCTGTTAAAGTGAGACTTTAGCAACCTGAACCTGAGGCTTGAAGCCAAGTTCATTTTGAAGTGCATGGATGTTCTGAAATCTAGTTTATGCATAGGTCTTGTACTTGATTCAGCCCCATAGTTTGAAATGTATAGCGCACCCTGCAGTGCGCAGGGATGTTTTGGATGGGCTTCTTTTCCTTAGGTAAGCTGTTGAGTAGCAAGTAGGCACTTGCTTTGCTGCCTGATAAACATTGTATAGCATAAAATGTTGAATTTAGGAGCTCTGCTTGGTCTGAACACTGAAAAGCACTTGGTCTGCCTCTTCAGGAAGCACATTTAAGAAGGAAGGGATAAGAATAAGACCAAACCAGAGATTAAAACTCGCAATTTCTCTTTTTTTTTGTCTCTGTTTTGCTCTTATAAGGTTCCTTAGGTTGTGTATGGGGGGAATCTTGTCCAAGCATTGTCACCACTTGTATTGAGAAGAGATCTCAGCCTCCAGCATTCATGTGGCTCCTTCTCTAAACACATGTCATCTTGAGCATTTCCCTAAGCTAATCTGGCAGTAATTTTTGGTGTAGTGGATTCAGGTGTATGGATTTGAGACCTTCCTCCCCCTTTCTCCACCTTGCTTAAGCTAATGGAGCATTCAGCAGATGGTTATAGAGGATTTAAAATTGCTTAACTGGCTGGATTTGCTGAAGGTCCTGTTCTCTGTTGTTAAAGTCTGTTCTCTGTTATCTCTCTTAGCTGAAGAGAGACCACTTTGCAATCTCCTCCAACAGTTAGAAACATGCAAAGGATTTTTCTTTATTAAATATAAAAATCTCTTTACTTCAGAGCTGGAGCTTCATAAGGGAGGAAGAGGAGGAAAAGAGAGAGTTTAGATTCCTTAGTGTGGCTTCAAGAGCTTCATGCAGAGCTCTGTTAGAGCTGCAGTGCCTGACACAGGAGGAATTTTGTACATCTTTGCCTTTCCCTGCCAGTGCAGTACTGACCTTTCTTATTTTCCCTCACTTTTCTTTCGTATCTTCTTTGTAGCTGTAAATTTCCCAAAGGACAAGGCTTCTATTACTTCCCATGGGAGGCTTTTTTATATCAAGATGTTCCTACAGATACTAGTCTTTGCTTCTGTTTCCTCCTACATAAACCCTTTTGTTTCCCATTAGAAGGCTCTTCTCTCCCTTGTGTTTACACATCTCAAGTATCTGTCTGCAGTCTGCCTCTTGTCATTGCTTCGTTAGGGCTGTTAATCTCGGCTCTGGTTGTCTGTCAGTCATTCCAGCAGCTGTCTGGCTTTCCTTGCTACCTCAGCTTTGTCTTCAGGCTTAAGATTAAATTAGTCCAGTTTTTCTGTAGCAATTGTGTCAGCTTTGAGCTGGTATCCACACTGAGCTGCTGCTTTCTGCGTGAAAGAAATTCTTTCATTTATCTCTCCCTCTAGATATCCATATCAGGGAATTGTAGGGATTGGAATTTGACAGCTAAAAGTAAGAAAACCTGGAGCATCTGAAGATTAAATATGCATGTTTAGCTTAGTACCTGACAAGACAGAGTCTGACATAAGATGTCCTTGTGCTCTGATCCTCCTGTAACTTGCACAAAGTAAAAGTTCAATCCAATATCTAAAGGGGCTGCAGGAAACCTGGACAGGGGCTTTGGACCAGGGCCTGTATGGACAGGCCAAAGGAATGGCTTTGATACCGGGAAATAAAGGGTTAACATTGTGCCTGCTTCCTTAAGCAGTCGCTGTGCTTAGTGAAGCAGAACCTTAGGAGTCAAAGTTGCTAGAAAGGTGAATTGTAGGAGTTGCAGCTGCTAGGCAGAATTGTAGTAGGTAAGATTCATAGCTTAATGTTTAAGACATTCTTGTTCAAATAGTATCTTTAGAAAGAAAAGGAACAAAAGATAACCAGAGTAACAAAATTGGCAAACTTGACAAGTTTCTGCTTTAAGATACATAAAACCAGCTTGTACCAAACCTGAAGTCTGGACAGGAGCCGAAACCCTATTGAGTCTGCGTGAAAGCAAGAGGTTGCTCGCAGTGATGAAGAGGAACTACAGGCCTTCATCCCCACGACCCCCTAATGACCACCACCAGGAGGCCCTGCGCAGGCGCATCAATGGGACGAATGCCAGAAAACTAATTATAATACTAGACGGGAATAGGTTTTGCATATGTATTAGGCGTGAAGCAATCTCATGTTTAGGTAATCATTATATGTGATGTAAATGCACTGAGTGGCAAAGGAGGGTGTGCATGCTTTTGGAGGAGTAGCCCCCATGCGCCTCAGCTGAATAAAGCATACCTACTTTACAACTCTAACGAGTTGTGGAGTCAATCCGTGTATCAGCTTTAACCTGCCAGAGGGGAGACTGAGATGAGCTCTTAGGTAGAAGCTCTTCCCTGTGAGGGTGCTGAGGCGCTGGCACAGGGTGCCCAGAGAAGCTGTGGCTGCCCCATCCCTGGCAGTGTTCAAGGCCAGGTTGGACACAGGGGCTTGGAGCAAGCTGCTCTAGTGGAAGGTGTCCCTGCCTGTGTTAGGGGTTGGAACTGGAGGAGCTTTAAGCTCCCTTCCAACCCAAACCAGTCTGGGATTCTATGATTCCAGTAAACTTAATCTGGTTTAAGAGGCTTTGTGACATAGTGGGCTTCAAAGAACAGCAGACAAAGGTGCTAAATTCATGAAACTTTCTCCAGCAAGAAGAGAAAACACACAGTGATGCACACTTGACCCTAAAAGCAACTAAATCTGCCTTCTCCACTTTAACCATATCTGGACAAGATCTCTCTTTATAACTGGTATTACTTTTCACAAAGTCGTCAGGTTTTGGTGCCCCAAAATCCCGCTGCATTGGTGAAGAGAGTCTATGAGAATAGCTGGGACTCAGCCCATGAGCTGGTACAGCAAAAGGTGGGAATTAACTGAAAACTGACCTTGTTTTTCTTATGTTTTCTCTCTGAAGGTTACAGATATAGAAAGGATGAGCTGTTTAAAAGGCTGAGAGTGACCACTTTTGCCCAGTTGGTATGTATGGTTCCCTCTGTGGCCTCTGAAAGTTGTCATCTTTTAGGAGCAGCATTTTTTGTCTCTCTAAAACTTTCATGTTGTTATTTCCTGCAGTGTTTTAACTCGCTGTACCCTGTTCTCTCCCCAGTTACGTGGCCTTAGTAACTCCTGTACTGGCTTTGTCCTGCCCTTATAGATTGCCCTTAATACAAGGAAACCATTTAGGCCAATATTTTCAGAGTAGTAGAAATGGTTTTAGTTTCAAATTCAAGTTTTTGGTGACTCTATCTTTGAAATGTATTCCCTATTTTTTTTATGTCCCTTCACTTAAGAGGATTTTTAAGCCTCTTATAAGAAAAGAGGGCTACGTAAAGGAGGTTCAGATCTGATCTCCTCAAGCTTTATGTCACAGCCTGAAGCCCTCCCTACCAGGGGGTTTTGCTGCACATGATGGAAATGTTCTTGACTTCAAGGCTTTCTGTGTGTTTTTAAATCAAATGAATCCAAATATTAAAGGCTGGTAAATTTGATCTGTAAATGAAGAGCTGAGTGGTGCTTATGTGTTAGTTCACAAAACCTAATAAAAACTAGAAAAATACAAGCTCTCTTCTAAGGAGAGAATGTTAAAGTTGCAGATATTAAAGGACTGGGTTTAGCAGACTCCCATCTTCAGTTCCCCTGGATTAAGACCAGTCCTGTACCTCTCACTGGTGCAATGAACTGATTTACTATGAGAACATCCCAGGTCTTCTCTGTGGAATAATCCCATGTGTGATTTTAGCCAGTGCAGTGTATGCTCTGAAATGTTTTAGTGACTGAACTTGATAAGTTAGACAGCATTCTGGTATTTGATGTTACCTGTGTGGCACATGTGGCTTTTCTTTCCTCCAAAGTTGAGTGTTCTGGGGGTTTTCTTTGCTACAACTTCCACTTAATAAAAGGACAAACTTGCTGTACAAGCATCATATACACACCTATGTGTGACCTTGAAGTCCAGTAGAAGTTGCAATGAGTTAAATGCGTCTTGGCTTGAGGATTGTTTTTCCTTAAGCTGATCCCTGCTCTCTCGCAGTGACATCAGTGCATGTGTATCAAGGTATTGTTGCTCTCTTTTGTCTCCCGCAGGTCATCCAGGTTGCCTCTTTATCTGATGAAATCTTAGAAGTGACAAACGAGGAGATCCCCAAGCTGGAAGGTAACAGTATTTGTTGTAAGCACAAAGAGAGGGAGCTATAGATCACTGTCATGTGGTGAGCTGGGTCCTGACAGACAGAGTTAGCTATTCAGCAGGGGAAAAATAACTTCACTTTTGGCCTTCAGCCACTTCACTTTGTGGACAGCAACACTCCTAAACAAGAAAGGCTGCAAGTAAGAAAGTCCTCATGCTGCCAAGTTTATTGTAACTCAGTAGATATCATGCCTCAAGAACTACATATTCATTCTTCAAATTAGATCTTCAGCTCTTAAAAATCCTATGGCTCTTTATTATTAATATGAGGCTGTTAGTAAAACATCCTTATAAGAGGATGAAATAAGGCTGTCTTTGAGAGACACACTTTCTCCTAAGACTAGGAACTGGCTTAAAACCTGCTTGCTTATTTCCTACAGCATTTTAACTCTTTGCACCCTGTTCTCTCCCCAGATGGTGATTCTGCTGCTCCACATCCAGATGCTGAAGTCACAGAAGGGACAAATGGGAAAGGAAGCCCTGATAGGACACCCAGTCCAGTCCTGTTCCTAAACAATGCAGGGGCTGGGGTTTCCTATCGCTCCACACTGCAGAGGTGCCTGACAATAATACACCATTTCCTTCCTGTCATAGCAGATAATTCCTTTTATCCAGCTAGGTTTTTTTAATTGCTGTTAAATAGCTTTATATTGTATTTCTCATTAAAGCCTGAGTTTGGAGGTCTGGAAGTGTGAGCAAGAGAGGGCTTGGCAGATTTTCCTGTCTGAGCTAGGTTTGAGGCTGTAACCCAGCCCTCTGGCCACCTGAAATGGGTGACCAGGAAATGTATTTGTGGGATTTGATCCAGGTCCCTGGGTTGAAGAATCCACGTTATAAACTGCTCTGGTAAACTCAGTAATGTGCCTTGCTGACGATAACACATAGTTCCATGGTTAGAATAAAAGGCCAGTTTCCAAACCCACTACATCACTAATCAAGGTCAGAGGTACCAGAAAGACATTGTAAGAGGAAGCTTTGTCTGGGCTCTTCCCTTGCAAACGCTAACAGTTGAGATGCTCACCTGACAGACCTAGTGATCATGTATTCAAGCTGTCAATTTAGTGACCACTAAGGGCATCTGGAGGTTTCTCTTCATGTCCTGTACCCAGTGTAGTGGTGAAATGGGAAACCTCTGCATAGCACTGGTGCCTGACAGTTATTCAGTGTGTTTGACTTGCTGAGATCTTGGGTCTAGTGTAAGGTATCCCTGCCCATGGCAGGGGCTTGGAACTGGATGATCTTAAGGTCCTTTCCAACCCAAACCATTCTGTGATTCTATGATCTTGGTGTTGGCAGTTTCTTAAGTATCATTCTCCCTCGCTTTATGATGTAAACCACCAGTAACTGATTGATCCAGAAGAGTATGGCATTTCACATAGCAAGGCTGTACTCTGTTTCATATCATGACAAAAGCAGTCTCTTCTGATGTCCTGGAAAGTGTGAAATAGAGCCTCTCCATTTCCATGTGGTGTATGGTGGTACTGGGATGGCAATGGACTATTGGAACTGTGACTGGTGGCGAGGTATGGAAGCATTCAGAGTGAGAGCTGGTATCATAACCTCCTCTTTCCTCTTGCAGTGTGATAAGTGGTATTGGTGAACTGAGTATACAGGAGGACACTCCAAAGAAAGAAGAAACTGAGGCTAAAGACACACCTTATCCTGATTGCCCCTTCCTGCTTTTGGATGTACGAGACCGCGACGCATACAACCAATGTCATATTATTGGAGGTGAGGAGACTACAATCCCACAGCAGGCTCAGCTGGGATCATCCTGCTCCATCTCATATCCTGGCTGGCTTCATTTTAACCCCCAGGATGGGACATTCTTAAGTGCAGAATGCTCTCAGCACTCACCCAGTACACCCATCTTTCCTGGAAAGGGATAAGGGTGTGGAGCTGATGCTGATCCCTTATTCAGTGGATTTCCGTGTCTGCTGAACCTCAACAAGTCATTGTCACTTGTACTGCAGGTTGTGTGATGGTTGATGTTCGGCTGCTGTATGATTTTTCTCTCTTTGTCTTTTAATCTCTTCTGCAGCTTATTCCTACCCTATTGCAATGCTGTCTAGAGCCATGAATCCATACTCAAATAGTATTCTGGAATATGTATCCTTTACATATGAAGAGCTGACCTAAAACAAATAAGGGGGGGGGGGGGATGTTGGGGGAGGCTTTCAAGACCAGTTGGGGCTGTAGCAGTTGCTGTCACTGGGACAATGCTCAACAAAATCCAGGGATTTCAAAAGGAAGATGGGAGAGGAGGTCCTTTATGCTGACTGTGTTTACTTCGTGAGGCTCTGCTGCCACCATCAGATGCCAGATTCTAGTTCCTCAAGGCTGTAACACCTCTTGACTCCCGTGGGAGCTGCCTGAATTTGGCATTTCATGGGGTTTTGGCTGCTGGAAGGCAAAGCCATACTTGGGCTCCCACCCCTGCAGTTGGTCCACATTCATCAAATCTTTTGGCTTCTTCTCAGCACATTGATGGGGATTGGCTTTTCTTTGAGGTTAGAAAGAGGATTATCAGGCAGGATTAGGCTGATAATTGTTCTCTTGAGAGGGCTGCAGGGGAGAGGGGAGGTTGTAAATGAAGGTGCTTCATGCTCTTGCCTGTTACTAACCAGTGTTAGAACAGTGGTGGACACTTGCTGCAGGGGCTGCACTCCTGTGGGGATTAGGCTGTGTCCTTTGTGTCTGTCAAGCCTCATCACCCAGAAATCAGATTTAAATCACAGATGCAGGGAAGACTTGATTTAAATACTGATACTTGCAGATCAAGCGGGGATTCTCTCAGTCTCCAGTCCCATTTGTCTCCTTTTTCTCTAAAAGGGTATTAAGAGTTATGTGAAGTTTCCAAATGAATCCTTAACTCTTAGCAGAAAAATGCCCATGGGAAGATGATAATTCTGTATGACAATGATGAGAGATTAGCCAGCCAGGCCGCAACATCTATGTGTGAGAGGGGCTTTGAGAACGTCTTCTTGTTATCTGGAGGTAAGTGGGGATGGGCAGGACCCCTTGAGACCTCAGGAGGGTGGATCAAGAGCAGAGAGCATGGCTTTGTGTGAGCTGGAACTTGGCAAGAGCTGGATATTCAGCTCTGCCAAGTGTTTTACTTGGCACTGGTCCACTCACTGATCCCATCCTAGCTGGTGGTCACTGGTAACATGTGACATGTCCATCTGCAGGTCTAAAGGTCCTAGCACAGAAGATCCCAGAAGGACTCATCACAGGCTCGCTCCCTGCATGTTGCCGCATAACACCTCCCTCTGGATCTGCCCAGAAGAAGACCTCTCTGCAGGTGCCATTCACACCAGCTGAGAATAGATGGAGATTTTCTGAAGATAATCTACAGAAGATTAAATACTACCTTGAAGAGGAGCACATTCCTTCAGACACTACCAGTAAGAGTCCGGAACAAACGCTGCAGCCCCTTGCTGTAGCTCTTGAGCCTGCCCTGCAGCACTTTCTCTGTCATAATCTTCCCATGAGAGAGCTGGGAGAGGAGTTTGATTTCTAAACAGACTGAGAGGATCCACTAAAACCTGTGCTATGCCAATCCCAGAGGATTTAAATCTTGCATAGCTACACAGTGGTAAAATTCTGGGACTGCTGGGGGTTGGCATATGCCATTTTACCCACTACATTTAAATGTCTTTAGGTTTAACTGGTGATTAATAGGGTCTTCAGGTGCTTAGGCCTCCGTAGTTAGATAGAAACTCTGCCCAAACCCTGCACTGAATTATCCATGGGTCTGTATGTTTACAGGGACAGCTGGAGAGGCAGCAAGGGACAGCAGATCATAGAATCCCAGCCTGATCTGGGTTGGAAGGGACCTTAAAGATCATTCGCTTCCAACCCCCTGCCATGGGCAGGGACACCTTCCACTAGAGCAGCTTGCTCCAAGCCCCTGTGTCCAACCTGGCCTTGAACACTGCCAGGGATGGGGCAGCCCCAGCTTCTCTGGGCACCCTGTGCCAGCGCCTCAGCACCCTCGCAGGCAAGAACTTCTTCCTTATCTCCAATCTGAACTTCCCCTGTTTCAGTTTGAACCTGTTGCCCCTTGTCCTATTACTCCAGTCCCTGATGAAGAGTCCCTGTCCAGCATCCTTGTAGCCCCCTTCAGACACTGGAGGCTGCTCTGAGGTCTCCACGCAGCTTCTGTTCTCTAGGCTGAACAGCCCTCATGTTCTCAGCCTGTCTGCATATGGGAGGTGCTCATCCATCATTTGTGTGTCCTTGTGCTCCATCCCACACTCAGCTCCTGACCTTTGGGTTGTTTCTTTTCCCCACAGGCCATTTTAGCAGTGGCTCTTCAGGATGCAGCTTCAAGGCAACAGCCATGAGGAGCAGCCCCAGTCTCCCCAGCACTGCTGGCAGTGGGGGAGTCCTCAGTGCCCACTCGTTCGGCAGGAACAGCGTCCAGAACAGGCCATGGAAATAAGCAGCAGTGTCTTATGCCACTGAATAAATCTGGAAGCAAGAGCTGGTAAAGTCCTGATTTTGCTGTGGGAGACTGATCCAAAACCCACAACTGCTCAGGGCTGTGTGAAAACCTCCTTCTGCCATGGGCAGACCAAACTAGCCTGAGGAATTTGAGATTCTCCAGATCCAGAACTGAATGTACTTTCTGGTTGTCTTGATGGGTTTGTATGCTTTGGGGCTTCTTGACTTGATGTTCTTTGGAGGATTGTCGTGGTTTAAACCCAGTCAGGTAATTCGTTCGCTCACTTCCCCCCCTTTCTTGCCCTCCCCCTGCTCTCGGAGGGACGGAGAGGAGAATCAAAAGAATGCAACTCCCACGGGTTGAGATAAGAACAGTTTAGTAACTAAGGTATAACACAAATCACTACTGCTACCACCAATGATAATAATGATAAAGGAAATAACAAGGGAACAGAATACAACACCTCACCACCCGCTGACCGATAACTCGCCCCCCAAGCCCCACCAAGCTCCGACCGATACCTCCTCCAACCCTGCAGTCTCCCGGCCCTCCCGGCTAACTCCCAGTTACATCCTGGGCATGACGTGCTGTGGTATGGAATACCTCTTTGGTCAGTTTGGGTCAGGTGTGATTTGTGTTATACCTTAGTTACTAAACTGTTCTTATCTCAACCCGTGGGAGTTGCATTCTTTTGATTCTCCTCTCCGTCCCTCCGAGAGCAGGGGGAGGGCAAGAAAGGGGGGGAAGTGAGCGAACGAATTACCTGACTGGGTTTAAACCACGACAATCCTCCAAAGAACATCAAGTCAAGAAGCCCCAAAGCATACAAACCCATCAAGACAACCAGAAAGTACATTCAGTTCTGGATCTGGAGAATCTCAAATTCCTCAGGCTAGTTTGGTCTGCCCAGACAAGACCCAAACCTGACTCTGCTTAACTTTTGAGATCAGACAAAATGGTTGTGGGTAGAACACAGCCTGTGTGTGTGCCAACATGCTGATCCCCATCACAATCAGCAGGCAGGTCCCAAGGATACCCAAAGGCCATTCAGAGCCTCCAGAACTCTCACACGATGCTGCTGTACTTGTCACTGGGGCTGGTGTAGCTGCTGTGCTTGCCGGCTCTCCCACCACCGGCTTCTCTTTTCCTGAGTCCAGCTCTTCCTCCTCTGCCTTGCTGGGAAATGCTGCGTGGTCTCCTGCATCCTCCTGGGGCTCGGCGGGTGGCTGCCGGGGAATGCTCTCGGCCGTCGCGGGGCTGGGCTCCTCCGCGGGGCTCGGCTCCTCCGCGGGGCTCGGCTCCTCCGCGGGGCTCGGCTCCTCCGCGGGGCTCGGCTCCTCCGCGGGGCTCGGCTCCTCCGCGGGGCTCGGCTCCTCCGCGGGGCTCGGCTCCTCCGCCGCCTTCTCCCGCTGCTCGGCAGCCGCTTCCTTCTGCTCCTCGACCGCCCCGACCTCCTCCACCGGCAGCCGTCCCCTGGCGGCCTCCGGCCCCGCTCCCGCCGCCGCTTGGTCCCCGGGGCCGCTCTCCCGGGCCGTTTCAGCAGCCGCCGGCTCCCGGGGCCGCTCCCCCTCAGCTCCCCGCAGCCTCACGAAGATGGAGAGTAGGGTGAGGGCCAGGACGGTGAAGAGCAGCCGGACGGCCAGGTACAAGTCCACGGCCACGTCCGTCCCGCCCTGCTGCTGGAGCCCACCCGTATTACAAGCCATTGCTATAAAGCACAGTGAGACAAGAACCTTAGCCCAGGCCCCACACTTGATAAACACTAACACAGCAAATACCGGCTCTACGTAAGTTACAACGGTCTGAAGCTGTGAGATCAAGAAGAACAACTCTGATACCCAATAAATCAGCATTGTGACGAATGACTATTAATCCGGTCAGATCTGTCATTATCTCAACCCTTCGTGCCCCACGTTGGGCGCCAAAAAGAACTGTCGTGGTTTAAACCCAGTCAGGTAATTCGTTCGCTCACTTCCCCCCCTTTCTTGCCCTCCCCCTGCTCTCGGAGGGACGGAGAGGAGAATCAAAAGAATGCAACTCCCACGGGTTGAGATAAGAACAGTTTAGTAACTAAGGTATAACACAAATCACTGCTGCTACCATCAATGATAATAATGATAAAGGAAATAACAAGGGAACAGAATACAACACCTCACCACCCGCTGACCGATAACTCGCCCCCCAAGCCCGACCAAGCTCCGACCGATACCTCCTCCAACCCTGCAGTCTCCCAGCCCTTCCGGCTAACTCCCAGTTACCTCCTGGGCATGACGTGCTGTGGTATGGAATACCTCTTTGGTCAGTTTGGGTCAGGTGTCCTGTCTCTGCTTCCTCCCAGCTTCCCCTCCTCCCTGGCAAAGCATGAGGCTCACAAAGTCCTTGGCCAAACCAAAACATCTCTATCAGCTCTGTTCCCGAGCTGAAAGTCAAAACACTGCACTGCACCAGCTACCAAGGAGGAGAAACATGACTGCTACTGCTGAACCCAGGACAAGGATGAAGTCAAACTCTAGGAGTTTTAATTGTAATTTAGGTTTTATTAAATTAAACACCTTGTGGTTGAGTGCTTCTTTCAATTTGAGAGCTATCAGAGAGCCTGGAGTGGTGCCTATGGAAGCTGGGAGTCAGCAGGGGCTTGGCTCTCCCTCCCCTAAGGATCACAGCAGGCGAGGAGGGACCTTTCTGCCACAAATTGATGTTCAACCACACAAAGACACAGAATCCATCACGTCCTAGGTCTCTGCTTGCCCAGTAAGTGTCAAACTGAATATCTTCCCCTTCCAGAAGCAGAGGGCACCTTCCTTTCTCTTGTGTCCCACTGTTTCCATGCCAGGCTTTAAGGCCAGGTTGGACAGAGCCTTGGGGCATGGCCTAGTGTGACGTCCCTGCTTATGGCAGGGGTTGGAACTGAGTGATCTTAAGGTCCTTTCCAACCCAAACCATTCTACATTTCTATGCCCATTTAATCCCCCTTTTGGGCCAGCACACTACTCATGTTGGCTGATTAGCACCAAGCTGGTCTCCAGAAGGGCTTTTTACCATGATCAGGGAAAACAGAAACGAAGGAAAGGCATTGCTCATCCTTCTTTACATTGATTTATTGCATTTTCCCCCCTCCAGCTCATTCCATCACCACTCAGGACCTGCTCCTGCTTAGTAGGGATGATCCAGCGTGTACTGCATGATGACCTTCAGTGCCAGCCACGTCTCCTGGGCCGTTGGGATGATTTGGCTGGCAGGGAGCAGGAATCCATAGCGCCCTGTGTCCCGCAGCTCGAAGGTGAAGGAGTATTTAATGCCCTGGCTGTATGTCCAGTCAACAGTAGATCCACTGGCTTGATCTGGGTGGAGAAACAACAGGAGGACACTGCTGGACAGGTATTTCATGGGATCTTCTGTCTAAGCTGAGGTGTGAGTGATGATTTGGGTTTATTATGGGAGAATCACTGCTGTCCCCTCCCCGTTACTTACAGATGGTGGTGTAGATGCTGCCATACTTGTAGCTAGTGCCATACAGAGAAGACAGAGCTGCAACTGCCTTCTCGGATATCTCATGCTAGGAATACACAGAAGGGAGAAAGATGAGCCAAAGAAAGGGTAACTGTGTGGGATACAACCTGCAGGAGAGGCTTTTCCTCATGCCACAGGCAAAAAGGATGTCAAAGCTCAATAGGTGAGTTCCTCCTAGGAGGAAAAGAGCAGCTTCACATCATCCCAGCCCCCTTCTGCCCCCCACATCAGCCCTACCAGTTCCTCGTGGTCAGGCGCTGGGGTGTTGGTGTAGCCATAGGGGTAGAGCAGGAGCTGGGAGTAGCTGTGGATGGAGATGAAAGCCTTGATGTTCCCGTGGTTGTTCACAAAGTCCACGATGGCCCTCACCTCGGGCTCCGAGTTGGCGTAGGGTCCGTGGTATGTCTCTGAGCAGGGGTTCCTGCTGGCCCCAGCCTCTGTGGAGCAGAGGACAGGGAGCACAGGGTAAGTGAGTGGCAGCTGGGCAAAGGGTCTTTTCCATTTCCAAGCTTCTCCCACCCCTCAGCCAGCAAGGAACACTCTGGGGCTCCTCCTGGATAACTCTATGATGACTTTCAGTAGTGATCCCCATCAACACCCTGGTGCAGCCCAAACTCTCATCTGCCACAAACCAAATCACATCTTTTCTCCAGGGGCCATCTCTGGATCTTTCTGAGCCAGAGAAGGCCTCAAAGCTTCCACCTTGATGGTGGAACCTAATAAGTGGGAGGGCTCTGACCTCCAAACCCTGCGTTCCAGTTGCGGTTGGGGTCCACACCAACACAAAGGGAACCCGAGTTCCTGGACCTGGTCTTGCGCCACATGCGGTTCTGGAATGGCAGAGACATCTCAGCTGGGGGCCGGGGCTGCAGCTCCACCAGCACTGAGAGAATGGGGAGGATAATGGGTTGTGGTGGTCCCCTTCCATCCCATGGAAACGTGGACAAGGAGGTTTTGATGTGCAGCAGCCCCATCCAGCATGGCTGTAGGGGCCAGGGCAGTACCTGTGTGTGGGTGTAGACAAAGCCATCGGGGTTGGTGACGATCTCCAGGAAGATGTCCAACTGGTTCAGGACGGAGGCCAGACCCTCATCATTCTCATGATCCTGGACAATCTAGAGAGTGGATGGTGGTTTATGGTCCCCATTGCTCCCAGAGCACCATCCTCTCTATGGGGTTAGCCCTCTGGCACCCATAGTTGGCTGCAGGACCTTGTGGCCCATTGGGGACCTCAGCCATGTCCTGGGGGTGTCTGTACCTTCTTGGCAAACCAGACCCCGCTGGCCTGTGTCACCCACTCCCGGGAGTGGATGCCGGTGTCAATCCAGATGGCTGGGCGGTTTGTGCCCCCTCTGCTGAACTGGAAGAGCAGAAAAGGGGGGGTGGGGAATGTTGGCTTTGTCCCTGGCCCCATTGCCCCCTCGGGTCACCCCATGGACTCCAAGCCCTCACCCTGAGCACATAGAGGGGACGGTCCTCTGTTGACCGGCCGATCTCAAGCTTGCTGACCAGGTTGGGGTTCTCAGCCACCAGCA